ATACCAGAGACATTTTATGGGGGTGGAGTGGGGAATGGGACCAAAAACAGGGGGGTGGGGAGGGAAGTGACAGGATTATGGTGATGGCACAGGGGTGACTTGGTGATGGGAAGCCCGCGGGGATTACAATTGAGAAGGAAAAAAAAATGTACAAAGTGATGTAAAAATAAACTGTTATAAAATAATAATAAAAAAAAAAGCTCTTGGGTGTCCCTGGAAATCTAGTTATTCCTGTCTTCAGACTCACAGAGAAAGCCAGGAAGTTGGGGCGTGACCCCCTGTGCTAGCCCCCTCAGACCACAGGGAGCCAACTGGTAGGGGCCTTGGAAGGGAAGCATCATGGCCTCCTCTGGCCACACGGAGCCAGCCTAGGTGAGAGAGAGTGAGACAACCTAGGTGAAGGAAATTGCAAGCCAGTGGGTAGAGTTGCCTCTGTCTGTCTGAACAGGTCGAGCCCTCCTGGCAAGCCCTGTCCAAGCCCAGCACACTGACCACGCGATGCCTTGGTAAGACAAACTGTTAGGTCCTGACTAAGGGTTGTCTCATACTCTACTGGAGGGAGGAGGGGGGAGCCCACAGTCCCAGCTGGAATGTAGCCCATCTTCACATGCCGGGCCTAGCCCAATCCAGACCACCTAGGAGACTGCTCCCCTCCCCACCTCACGCGCCACTCATCTTCCTAGATTCTCCAAGAACACTGGGATGGCCAGTGTTCAACTCCTCAGTCTTTCCTAGAAAAGTGCTCCTGAATTTTTTGCCTACTTAGTGGCGTCTCCTCCTACCCCTTACTCTGGGGGATTATAAAATATTAGACCCAGATGCGTCTCTCTTTCTTTCAAAAATAACTTCTAAGAGTTCTTTTCTTGTTGCAGAAGTTATACAAGCTGGTGATAAAAATCTGGAAACAAATAAAAGGAAGAAAAGAGTTTGCCATCTTGCTGAGAGGTAACCACCATCTGCACTGAGGTGCACATCTTCCAGTCTTATCTCCTGTACATATTTCCTTTTACAAGTTGGAACTATTTTCTCTATGCTGCTTTGTAAATTACTTTTCACCTTTAACAGTATGATGCAAATCTTTTGCAAGATTTTATTACCCTTTATTCAATCCTATGTTTTCACTTTAAGATTGAATCATCTCAACTGCTAAGTTTTTTACTTAGTTGAAAAGAACATTGTTGAAAAGAATATCCCTGTAAACATTGTTGAAAAGAATATCCTTGTAGCTGAAACTTTTCACAGCCTTGGGATGAATTCCCAAAAGTACAATTGCTGGGTCTCCGAGTATGTAAAAAGTCAACACTTTTGCAAATCTACTACAGCTCCCCAGGAAGTGTCAATTTACAGGCCAGCCAGCCAGATGTAGGATTCCCCACAGCCTCGAAAATTCTAACTATGGCCTTCTTTTCAAACTTTTCTCCATCTGATAAGCAAAGGGGTGTTTTGTCTAAACTGGTGTTTCTCCCATTACTACTGAGGTTGGATATCCATGCTCACTGGCTACCAGTATTTTTGTTGGAGATATTCTCTTCCTGTTTTTAACAAGTGTTTGTCTCTCTCTTATTGCTTTGTAAAACTTGATTTTTCACTGGCATCCTTCCAGCCCACAGGAGGGGAAAAACTGTCAGTTAGAAAAGCCTATGTCCAAAGCAGGGCTCGGGGATGGACAACACCCTGAGATCACCCCCTGCCATCCCTCTTCACAGGGTGCTTCAGTCTGGCACCCTCCTCAGAACAGAGCCTTGCCGGTACTGCTCAAGTGCCCTTAAGGTCCTGCGCTTCAGCTGTGGGTCAGGCCCCCGCTGGAGCGCCATTCCTGGCCCACACAGGCCCCAGGCCAGTGGGCGGCACCTGTGAGCTCAAGGGGACACGGGCATGCATGCTTCTGGTTGGCCAGAGACCAGCATGTCCCAGCCTGGCCACAGCCCTGTTAGAGCCACTCAGCAGGCCCAGCTGCCTCCTGCTGGCCTCCCCACGAACCAGCTCCAGTCAGGATGTGGCCTCCCAGGCCTTGCCAGTTTCCATGGGTGTAGATGTCCCCTCTCTGCTCTCATTATTCTGATGGAGGCAATGCCTTTGGTGAAGGGGGGAGTGGTGGGGGTGGCGGTTCAAATAAGCCCTGGGTCTAACACAGTGCCTGGCATTTGCTGGGTGTTTCATACAAACGGGTTGGATGATGACAGGGTAGGGAGAGCTCCCAGTAGACCCCTCCTCATTCCTGTGGGGGGAGGGGAGGCGCAGAGGGAACCCAGCAAACCAAGCCCTGTGGATAAGGTGATGGATAAGAGCTACAATTTTGCTTATAAACAAGGCGCTGGGGCAGAGAACCAGGCAGAAGTTTGAAAGTTTGGCACATGGGTGGGTTTTATTACACCTAGAAAATATTTTGTATGTAGAATTGACACTGGATTCTGACGTGTGATAAAATGTATTCAGCTAATGAAAAGCAGTGGCAAAACAGAAGAGAAATCCGATTGCTTCTTTCTTTTTCCTGGGGCGGGAGCCCCATCTTGACCCCCTTTCCCTTCCGCAGCTGCAGCTCATTCTATGGAGACATAGCTTTGCTCTTTCTTGAGTGCCTTGTGTGAATTCTTAACGAAAACTCAGATGGGAGAGTGATAGACTTGTATTCAAACCTCAATGAGAAAGACACTCTCCCCTCTCTGCTTCGTGCCCTGTCTACAAATAAAGTCTCATTTAATACACAAGGTTCTTCCAGAAAGGACCCTTAGGATATATGGAAGAAGCCTTCTTTTTTTGTTTTTTTTTTGTTTTCATGAAACAATTGACTTACTTTGATAACGTGTGAACTTATCCTCCTGGAGTAGGAGCTCAATGAAGGTAAAAAGAGAGCAGAAAAACAGGCCCTTCATTTCTGTCCCACAAGAGTGGAGAGGCCCCCTGCCTGTGGTCCAACTCCTTAGTCCGTTCACGGAGTCATTAGAAACTGCTATGTAGACAAAAAGCAGTATCATGACACTTACTAAGTACTTATCTAAGCA